ATCCCCTATCAAAGATGTATTTCCTTCATTTATCACTCAAATCTCTCCAAAACACACGTTTTGAGGCAGCACTTTGTATTATCAAATTTATCTTATGATCAACACAACATAACACATCATTTATAATACTATCTTTTCCGGTTTTCTTCATAAATGCTCCACCGTTTTAGGTTATTGTTGTGCACACATTCGGTCACATGCTTAGGTCTTTTGTGAATCCATCCAATCTTTTTTCAATATCTTCCGATAAATGCTTGCCAGCAAAGTGTTGTAAGGTGACCAAAAAACGCTTCATTTGAAAATCCAAATCAATGTAGTGCGCAGGTAGAGCAATATTTGCTGCGTTGGTGGTCTCGTTGGTCCAGAGATCAGACGTGAATAATACTAAATATTTTATTAACTGCAGCCATAATTGTTTTGTATAAATACGGTATTTTGCTACGTGAAACTGTCATTAAAGAAATCGGCTCATACCATCCTTTAGTACATATTTTCACAAAGTACTTAAAATCATCTTAAACCACTATATCAAAATGCAGCATGGCACTTGATATCCACTGCATCATTGCAGAAAAAACGTCCGTCTGTTCATGATCATTCCTAGATCATTCATTTTTAAGAAATACTCGCTTTGTTGGTGTTTCGTATACAAACATTTACTCTTTTCATGACTTTTACCTGGCTGGTGTTCTGACAGTGGCTGCTCTTGATGGCCCAGCACCAGAAAAGGACTCAAGTTGCTCCTTTGCTACTAGTCTATCTATTTATTTAAAGTAAATTATGCAAGAAATTCTATGTTAGTTTTATTCTTAGAGTTTTTCAATATTTCTTGTTAAATGCAACCAATCAGATTTTGATTTTACAAATCATAAATCGCAGTTGGTTGTATTATTTTGTTGAACATCACAACGATTTTCTTGTTTTTTTTATACGTCTGTTCCATAAATATTAACTTTATTTTTTTGAAATCAAAAGTTATCAAAAAATGTCAATGACTTCAATTAAAGAGGTATGATAAACAAGCTGGAGGAAAAACGAAGCCGAATGTAGTTTTAAGTAATGTTATAGTATTACTACTATAAATATTCTAACTGTAAGTTAAAATGGCAGATTTTCATTTTTAAAATAGGAAGGTTAAACATGTGATTTAAAAGTTTTTAAAAGCTTTAATTTTATAAACTGCTTTCTTAAAAAATGATTATATCCATTTTTAACAAATGTACGAACTATCATGAAGTAATCAAAACAAAATCATAATTAAGGTAAAGTAATCGTTTCTTGTATACCTCGATGTTAAATATAAATATAAAAGTTATAGACAATCTTTACTACCTATTTGAATCTTTTTTGTTTCCTCCTGCACCTATAGATTTAATGTGTTTTTAAAAAGCGTTGTTTTGACCATTATTTAATTGCATGAGTATTTTGCGGATTACCATACAGAAAATCTGCTTGTTGATTTTAGTTACAATTATATTTTAAATATAAGAATAAAAAGTTCCTATTTGTAAATCCAGCAAAAATGCTAACAACTCCAACCTATTTATTTAACTCTATTTAATTCTAATAACTCTAGACATTATATAAAAAATAATTATAAACTAACTATAAACATTGTTGACTAATATTTCTGAACATTTTTTCTATTATTTTTAATGCACACTATACTTTTAAGAAAATATCATTATATATTTTTTTTCTAAATATGGATAACTTTAAAAGTTAACATAATTACGCAGTATGCCATGAAAAATTATAATTTTCTACGTAGTAGATTCTAATCCCGCTCGTTATCTCGCATGGTACTTATGCAATATAATTCATCACATAAAAAAGATGGGGGTTGCTGTAAGATTTCATGACTGCAAATGCTAAAGAGATGAAAAGATCCTTGTAGGTTTTACTTAGGAAATCAAAAAAAGTTGAAAAAAAGAATCGCGTTGATTTGCTCTAACCGCTCCTCGGTCGCTACGCCTCTAAGCTCCTGTATAGCTATATAAAAAAAGTTTTTAAATCGTATGATTATTCTAGAATTCTACTTATAAAAAATATTCAAATACCAAATTGCTTTTTTTGTCTCAAAACTTTGTTTTGAGACAAAAAAAACGATTTGATATCCGTCAAAAAGGAGAAATTTAAATCTTTAAGAAATTAGCAAAATCTAAAGGTAGGGAGTAACGGTTGTCAGCAATCTCTATTTCAATCTATAAATGATTTATGATATGGCCTACAACACGAAGGAAATTCTTTTTCCTTTACATTATTCATTTTAGTATACTACATATCAGGGACTATCAAATTACCGCGATGCAAGATTTTAATTTCATATAATTTTAACGAGAGGGCTGAAAAGTTTTGAAAAACGTAAAAAAAATGTTGAGACTGTGTTTTTGGGTGTTTTGAGACTAATAAGGCGTTTTTCTAACTTGTTTTTGAATTTCTTAATTTATTCATTGAAAGAATAAGCTATAAGCAATTAATTACGTTAAACATTCTATAGGTTCGTTTTAAATGAGTTAACATTACGTATTTTCAACAACAGCAAAAAGTGTATACAATATAGTTGTTAGAATTAGTAGTAGTCTTTTTCTAATGGGAAAACAAAGTTAGTATTTAGATCCTACAACAGTTATATTTGTTGTTGCCCACACAGATATGGCCATAAATAATAGCATGAAAGATGAGATATCAAAGAACCTACTAAAATACTCTAAACCTAAAGTCTGTGGTTTTTAAACGAAAAAGTATGTTTAAAGAACTATAGAAAAGTTTGTATTGCTCAAAGAACAATCTACACTTACGGATTACTTTGGTTCTTATTATAGACTAGTGATCAATATTCTTGAAAATAAAGAGGATCAAGTCAAATGGATCTTTTTTATTCTGCGGTATTACAAAGAGAGCGTAAAGTCAGTTCACGAAGCATCGTTAATGACATATAAAGAAAAGAAGCAATAGATGCTTCTAGTCAAAAACAGAATTTATAAACCAGTTTCTCAACTTAAAACAGCTTATAACAAAAAGGCTGTTGAACAGCTACAATAAGTATCTTAGTCTTAAATACAAATCATCTCAAAGAGTTTTTGAGCTGATGGAGATGCTCTTATCCTGCTAGCAAAAAGGGCACAAGCATTGATATTGTGGAAGACGATTAGGTTTTCAGCTCCATGAACTAAGAATGAAGCTCCTACCAGTTCGGAAGTTTTATTTATTTATCTATTTATTTATTTTAAATTGCTTAAGTTAAAGCACATTAACAAAAGAGCCTGATAAAATTACCCCCTCCTCCATAAATTTAAAATAAAAAGTTATATTTTTTGCTCCAAATGAATAAAGCATTATGTATAGAGAAAAAGATTGGTGCGTTGAGAAGTAACGGCAGGGCGTGTATATTACCATAAAATAGGAAGTGGAGTTAGAGCTAGTCTTACCTAACACACATAAAGTTAGTATAATTTAAATCTAACATAAGCTGGAATACCATTTTTTTAGGTTTGCTTTTTCGTCTTAAACTAAAAGAGAATCAAGGTTTATATAATAAAGAATAGAACTCGTAGTGAGTTTGGATAAAAAAGTCTACATAGTAAGTTTAAATAAAAAAGTCTAAAGTTCATTATTTCAACTTTTCTGATTTATTAGAAAATAATGCAATACAACTTTATATTGCATTGGTGTAAACCTAGTTGCAATTTAAAACTTTTGCTTAAAAAAAGTAAACTCGACAATAGTTTGTTAGAATATATTGATTAATAATGTTTTTTCCACTAATTGTTTTCAAAACTAAAATTATAAAGTAAAATGTAAATATATAAGTTCTGTGTTTAAAAGCTATACTGCAATAAACAGAATATAAAATTAATCCACAAAACTAACCAAGCGCTAAAGTTGCTCTGAGTTCAGACAACAAGTTGCCAAGGGTAATTATGGTAGACTATGGTCTGTCAAACTTGATGTAAGATATTACTTGTTTCATTTGGTTAAGTTTTCAGCTCTATCGGCATTAAAACTGTAGCCGCTTTTAAACAAAATGCTTTCGGTTTTTATTTAAGTGAAAATTAAAGGGTTTACAAACCAAACTAGTTGAAGAAAATTGGTCTTCTTAGGTCTTTTTTTTTTTTTTTTTTTATCACACTTTAAACAGTATATAGTTTTAAAATATAAAGTTTACTAGGTAAAAAATGAAGCTACGATAAAAATAGCAAACAATGATTGCAAATAAGAAACAAAATAACATAAATTAAAAGTAAAACAACGTCGTTAAAATGAATATGACAAGGTATCTCAATGTAAATAAAATTGGTAAAAGATTAAAAAAATATATTTTTTTTATTTTCCATTATATACACTATAGATGCTATAAAATATTTGTAAAATCCGTTGTATATGCTATAGATGCAAATAAACGTCATATAGTTGTTCGTTGTTTTTAAATAAGTGTTAAAAGTTATTCGATAATACCCAGTGGGCACGGACGCTTATAAACGTGTATAAGACGTTTTTAAACGTCTTATACACGTTTTAAACGTCTTTGGAACGTCTTGCAATTGTTTTAGACGTCTTTTAAACGTCTTTTGAACGTTCAAAAGAGGTTGTTTTTTTTGTCCAGTGCCCACTTGGTAAGCAAATGAAAAATACCAAAACTATATTATAAAACATCAATTGTAAAAACGTTTATTCGTTTAGCTTTCGTTTTAAAGAATTGTCACTATATCATTAAAAAAAAAAAAAAAATGAGAAACATTTTTAAAAACTTTTACATAAATATTTTTTCATGAAAATTAATGCAAAATTTTATTAGAATTTGATTAAAACTGCTTAATGAAATATCATGACTTTATAATTATCAAATATCATGAAAGAAAACCTGGGAAGAATTGATTTTACATTTTAAACATAAAACAACGAATTTGATTAACTTTAATGTAGAGTTAGGAAGTTTATTTAATAAAGTAGAAGCTTTGCATTAGTAAAACGTTAACAAAATTTTATAAAACGTTTTAAAATTTTTTTCAAAGATTATGATAAAAAAAAGTGTAATTTATACAAATACGTTAATTTCTGCAACCTGAAGTGCGTCTGCAACAGTATTATTAATAAATATATATCTAGCAATGAATGAGCCCGAAAAGGTTTGCTTCAAGTTGGAGCTTAAAACTGCAATTTGAGAATAATCTGTAGCTTTGTCGGTTATTCCTAAAAACAACTTATTACCATTCATTCTACTTGAACGAGTGCTCGAATTCCATACAATAATTTGATTTATTCGGAAAATGAATTTTAGATCAAGTTTAAACCATTTATTATTATCACTAAAATGAGTTACTGCGGTAATAAATACATTACCATCGATTGCATTACTTGCAGCAGTTGACGGTGAATATGTTGTTGATAATGAAGGAGTTCCAATTCTTGACACATCGTTTGTTGCTTTAAATTATAATTATATCTAATATATATACATATATATATATATATATATATATATATATATATATATATATATATATATATATATATATATATATATATATATATATATATATATATAAATATATATATATATATATATATATATATATATATATATATATATGTATATATATATATATATATATATAAATATATATATATATATATATATATATATATATATATATATATATATATATATATATATATATATATATATATATATATATATATATATATATATATATATATATGTATATATAAACTATATATTTTTTTAAGCACAAAAAATGTAAATATTTTAATAAACAAGACAAACTTTTTAATTAATAAAACCATTTTATAAATTCTAAACAATATATGTTTTGACTATCATTACCCATCTTCAGTTGAAGTTAAAATTTTAAATTTGTTCAAATACCTATATAGGTGATTTTTACAATACCAATATAAAATGTAATTATCTGTGTTGTAATTATCTTTGTAACTATTAATTTAATTACAAAAATACAACAAAATCTATTTTAAGAATAACAAGTCATACTAAAAAAAGTATATATATAAAAAAAGTATAAGTAAAAACAAGTCATACTAAAAGAAGTGACGAAAGAAAAGGTTAATAAAAAATTACATAGAAAGTAATAACTAAACAGAAAGTGTCATTTGGACATGGTTGACCTGTTTGTTCATACCAGGTTTTAACCATTCTATGAACATGCTTTCTTTAAGTTTTAATTCAAACTTATTAGATGCTGAACCTAAAACGAAAAAACACTTTTTATTTACTTGCATAAAACAATTTTCATTAACATGGAGGTGTTTATAGATATGTAATTTTTTGGATCTCTTATAATGTTTAGTTAAGGTTTTGATAAGGTTGTTTATATCGGAGTTAAACCATAGATTAGTACTACTGATTTTAAATGTTCTAACAATTAAGCATTTGATAAGACTAACTCTGTACAAAAGCGGAGTAAAACTATAAAAATTGGTGTTTAGACTAGAATAGGTTTTCTTATGAAAAACTGTAGTAGTTACTGTAGAATTTATTTTGTGTAAATTTACGTCCAAGAAGGATTTTTTCAAATTCACTTCTTGTTTCATGGTGTAAGAAATAGAATTGTGTCTATTATTTATATAGGAAAAGTTCATATCAAGTGAACTCCAATCAAGTTTTTGTCGGCGTACATTAGTCAGGTGACCTAACTAACAGTATGATTTGCACCTTCAAACATCTTGTGCAATTCCTGTCCGTTATCTTTCTAACTCGACTACTTCTATATTACGCTCTGATATATCTTCATTTTTCCCAAACTCACCTTACTCTTGGTCCGTAGAGCGGGTTGTGACGCTCCTTTCGGAGCTTAACTAGTCTTTGTGGGCCTTGGTAATGTGGCCTCTATATGGCAATTAGCCGGAGAAGGATAAACCACAATACCAAAAGTTTTTAGAGAATTTCTAAACAACAGATCTTATGACACAGCAAACAGCAAAACTTTTAAAATATTAAAAAAGTTATCTAAAACGGATTGTTGTTCTTAAACATCAAGGCGAATTAATATCTTTTTAAAAAGGAGCAAAGGGTTTTAGTATGATTATTTTTTTCTTTGCTTTCGTTTTTTACTAATACACTGCTGTATATTGAGGTTTTTGCTTTAAAATTTCCTCCTGATCTAGAAGTAGGCAAATTTTTAGATAAGAAAAATAAATACAAAAAAATAATAATAAATAATAAAAACAAATAATGGAGCCATTAAAATTTTAAACCTCAAACACTATTGGTTTGAATAAAGGAAATAAGCTAAGTTACAATTATTAATAATTTCAAAAATAAGCCATACAATATTTTTTTATTCAAGAAACATACTTAAATAATAAAAATATTAATTAGTTAAAAAAGGTGTGGGATGGTGATATTTTTTACTCACTAGGAAAAATTTTACCATAGGAACTGCAATTTTATTTAAAAAAAACAACATGAAAAACTAATTTTCTCAGGTAATGGCTTGATAGAACTATGAGGTCATAAAAAATATTGGCATAAATTATTTAATAACGAATATTTACGCAAATTCAAAATTTAAGAATAAATTAATTTAACGAACTAATAAGTGATTTTAATACTAAAGAATTATTGATTTCAAAATTGTTAGGGGTAGAGATTTTAACATGGCTTTGTTGTAAAAAGCTAGATACCTATCGATGTTTAGAAGTGAATACCCCTTTATTAAAAGAAAATGTGTTAAACAGGTATATATCAAAAAACCTATTGAGCATCAAATCACATTTATACAGACTAGTCTAGATCCTACTAACTCTAACCTCTCAGTTGTATTCATGTCTGATTTTTCAGACCTTAATTGAGATTTTGTTTATAATGTTATTGGTATGTATATTATATTTTTTTTCTTTGCGCTGCTCCTACCGACATGTTTACATATATATATATATATATGTGTATATATATATATATATATATATATATATATATATATATATATATATATATATATATATATAAAATATATATATATATATATATATATATATATATATATATATATATATATATATATATATATATATATATATATATATATATATATATATATATATATATATATATATATATATATATATTAGGGTGGGTCATAAAACTTTTTTTAGAGTTGCTAACCTGGCTATGGTCTAGAAAGTTGTTTTTTTATGTACTAATTTAGGAAAGTATTTACTTTTATGGATTGAACAATATCTTCCACCCGCAACTATAATTACAAAAATTAGCAGACCCTATTATTATTCAAAAAAAAGTTTTTCAAAATTATGTGATGTAGGTACTCAAATAAAGCGAAATTTTATAAAAATTTCAAAAATAATAATTTTTTCATATGAAAATTATTATTTTAGATTTTATTGCTTTATAACTATAGTTTTTTAACTAAAAGTAAAAAAGGTGCATTTTTACATGTTTTTTTTTTAGCAATTTGATTTTATAAAACGATTATTATTTTCGAATTTTTTATAAAATTTCGCTTCTTTTGAATATCAGGTTGACTTACTTTTGAAAAACTATTTTTCTCCAAATTATTAGGATACCGGTAATTTTCCCAATAAAGTTGCGCCATTTAAATCAATCACAATCATTCTCATATTTAATAGTATCAATATTAATAACTATTAGCAATGTTTAGAGCCTGTAACAAGAATAAAAAGTTTTATGACCCACCCTTATATATATATATATATATATATATATATATATATATATATATATATATATATATATATATATATATATATATATATATATATATATATATATATATATATATATATATATATATATATATATATATATATATATATATATATATATATATATATATATATATATATATATATATATATATATATATATATATATATATATATATATATATACATATATATATATATATCACTAGATATACTCAATGGCGACAAAACGTGCTCAAAAAACGCGCTATAAGGCGACAGTTGTGTTAAGGCAACTATTTGTGGTCACTTTAACGTTTCTGATTCAAATTTAATGGCTTTTTGTTTGCGCATTATAAATTAAACTTTACCTAGCTTTAGGTATCTATTTAAATAATATAAAAAATAAATTTAGGATCAAACTAAAATTTTTTTGGGGAGATATGGAAAAGGCAGTTTTGAGAGTGTTTATTGTATAAAACGGCAAATTTGCCTACAAATGCCATATGGTGACAGTTTGTGCATTTGAAAGATTTTAAGTGTTTTTATACGTATATATAATTATTTTTATGATTAAAACATAATTTAGGAGTTAGTCGACTATATTTTACTAATTTCTAAACTTTTAGCACGAAGTGTGCGAATAAAATGCGCGAATAAAAAATATAGTTTTTTTTTTCACTAAAACTCTTATTTTTTACTTTAGCGAAACACAAAACTTAGATTTTTACTATTGTATATAAGAACCAAGTCTTATTAACTTAAATTTATTAATTTCGCTAACATCTGTTAAGGATTTCCTTCATAGTTGATAAGTTTTCATAATGATGTTTTACCCAAAGGTGACGCAACTGAGTAAAATCAACAAAAGAATAAACGTTAAGGTAACACTTTTTTTTGTATATCTGTGTGGGGAAGTGCAATTATTTTAATTTCAATAGAATATGCTCAAAGAAGTAATTATAAAATGAGTGAAGTCGTTATAGCGCAAAAAAAATTTTTTTTTGTGGTAAAAACTGCAATGTCGCCTTATAGTAGAATTTTTGCGCATGTCACCGTATATAATATACATATATAAATATACATAATCACATTATTTAATCTTAAACTTAAACTTAACAATAGAACATTTGAACGAGTTTACACTAAGAATTGGTAACAAAGGTTTTGCTCAACAGTTTGTGAGTTTGATTTCAATATGTTTAACATGATTTAGAGAACAAAACCTGGACAACATATTTTAACGCCCAGCTTTTGAAACAGCAAATAATTTACAATCACTTTATTAAAATGATTGTAAATTATTTGATGTCACAAATTATGTCATCTTATTTATTCAGCCTATAAATATTTTTAAATATTTTAGATTGGTTGCAGCCTAACAAAGTTGTGAAAAAACAATATTGAATAATTCTAATGTTTTAAAATTTTATTTCCTTTACAAAATTATGTGAATAAAAATGTTTTATATTTATGAGTTTGCCATGATTGCTCTGATTGAATCATGGCAAAATACTTATTCAGTTCTAACTGTTTATTAAATAAGCTTGGGTCTTTAAGGCTTGACCTTGGTGAATGCAGTAAAAAATATTTAAATAAGATCTTATGTGTAAAACGCTTCAATGTGCCTTTTTTATGTTTTTTTCTTTTTTAGGCCAACTCTCACTTGTTGGTGGAAAGTTAGCAAAATATGTTAAGGACTTAATTTAGAGGTAACTTTTGTA